AAGAGAAAAGAAAGAAAAGAGGGAGGGAGGGAGGGAAGCAGGAAGGAAGGAAGGAAGGAAGGAAGGAAGGAAGGAAGGAAGGAAGGAACTGTGAGTACCCATACAAACATTCTGCTTTTCATTTTCAGTGCAGCATTCAATTTATTACAGGAGATATTCAACACTTTATTATAAAACAGGCTTTATGTTGGATGATTTTGCCCAACTATAGGCTAATGTAAGTGTTCTGAGCACATTTAAGGTAGTCTAGGTGAAGCTACAATGTTTGATAGGTTAGGTGTATTAAATGCATTTTTGACTTATGATATTTTCAACGTATGATGGGCTTATTGAGGTGTAACTCCATCATAAGTTAGGGAGCATCTGTGTTTAAACATTTTTACTCAAATATTGTAGGATATGGTAATTCCTTAAGCTGCTCCTTGGGCTCTAGAAACAAGGAGCCTCTATACAATTCACTGTGCTCCAGTTGCAATATCTTCCCCTTACTGGAAATTAGGTCTGAGGGCTTGGGAGAGCAGAGAGTAGGTAGGCAGCTTTCATTTCAGTTGGAAAGATCCCTGGGCATTTCAAGAAAGAATAGACAAATCAGTTATTTAAAAATATGACACACTGAAGGCATGAGCCTTGAAAGTTTTGTTTTAGATTCTGTAATATTGGACCCTTATCACACTGAAAAACTGTGATTTCAGAACCTCGGGTTCATGATGCTACAAGATAATGTTCATCAGATACACTCCCCCAAACCCAAATGCTAAATTATGTTTAGTTCCTTCCCCATCATTATTTACAGAGCTGTTTACTTCTTAGTTTTGTTTTTTGTTCTTAAAAGACCTTAAACGACCTATTCAATGGATGTTAACTTTTTCTGATGACAGGTTGTTTAAAGAACCTGAAAGAACTCAATGTGAGTTTCAACCATCTGAAGAGCATTCCTCCAGAACTGGGAGACTGTGAAAATCTAGACAGACTGGATTGTTCTGGAAATCTAGAATTAATGGAGCTGCCCTTTGAAGTAAGAGATAAACATTTCTGCACTACGATTTACTTTTATTTGGTTTATGACATAGAATGGTCTATAATATGGCAAGAAGTTTTAACATATGAAATCTATCTTTATTATATCACCTTTTCCTGACATTTCAATCACCATATACTGGTCTTTAAAAACTTTTTTTTTTTTTTTT